GTATAAAGTAATGCCTTTTGGCATGAAAAACGCACCGGCTACATTCCAAAGGATGATTCACTCCCTTCTTCAAGACCTTGAGGGATGCGAGGCCTACATTGATGATGTCGTCATATACAGCAACACATGGGACGAACATCTCCGAATCATGCGTGCTTTATTTGACATTTTAGCTAAAGCAAACGTAACTGTGAATCTTGAGAAGAGCGAATTTTGTCATGCTTATGTAGAGTATTTAGGTCATAAAGTAGGTCAAGGTTATGTTACACCCATAATGGCTAAAGTGGAAGCTATTTCAAAGTTCCCGATTCCTACAAACAAGAAAGAATTAATGAGGTTTTTGGGCATGGCTGGGTTTTACAGAAAATTTTGTCCAAATTTTTCCTCAGTTGTTAGTCCACTTACAAATCTTTTACAAAAGAGAGTTAACTTTAAATGGACAAAGGACTGTGAAAAATCCTTTCATGAAATCAAATCTGTCCTTATGAGCAACCCAGGTCTGTCAACTCCAGATTTTTCTAAGCAATTTAAGCTTACTGTTGATGCTAGTGATGTTGGAATCGGGGCAGCTTTGTTTCAAGAACATAGTGATAAGGTAGATAGAGTTGTTTCTTATTTTTCAAAGAAACTTACAAAATGTCAACAAAAGTATTCCACCATTGAAAAGGAATGCCTTGCTTTGTTGTTAGCCTTACAGCATTTTGATGTTTATCTGAATGTTACTTTGCATCCAGTTCTTGTATATACAGATCACAACCCCCTGACATTTTTGCACAAATTGTCAAACAAGAATCAAAGACTGACTAGATGGAGTTTGTTGTTACAAGAATACAACATAACAATTAAACATATCAAAGGCAAAGACAATGTTATTGCAGACGCCTTGTCAAGAGTATAGTAAACATACTAGATTTTGTATAATGTTCCTGTTTTACAATTTAAGTTTTTCATTGACATTCAAACTTTTTAAGGGGGGAGGTGTTGTGAGATGTGTATTGTTTCATTATGTATATAATTAGTAACATTTTCTTGAACATTCCAGAGTGGTCAACATGTTCGGTCATTTGATCTAGAACATTCTTAAATTTTGTGTATGTCCAGATTGTTCCAGTAATATCATGTTTTAATAATTTCTAGAATATTCTAGATTTATAATACTATATAAATACCCTGTCAATTCGATGCAAATACAATACTTTGTCGTATAAACACTATTGAGATATAAATGGGATATATTTTCACTGGGACATTGTGTGCAGCAACGGACACTCTGATGTATGTATTTTTAGATTCATGCTAAGTTTGTACTTTATGTTTGATATATTTATTATATATTACTGTAAATAAATTATTGTTAAGTTTTAAATTGTGTTATTGATCTTTGCTGGCATTTAGGGTTATTCTGACCCATAACAATATTTAGTCACTGATTCACGCATGTATAATGAAACAATAATTGTTGGGTTTTTTCAATCAATACGATGATTTAGCCACCTTCGAAGTACAATATTCAACTTTGTCTTTTTTTTTCTCAAATATGGAGTCGGTAATAAACTATTAGAATTTGACACAAGTTTGTCAGCTGTTGCAAATAGTTGAGCATAAGAAAAATTCCTTAATCTCTGCTTCCTATCAGCTGACATACTAGAGTCTTGCCGACAAAGATCTAATAAATACAAACACTGAATATACGAATACAAAAACATTTCGGGGAAGGGGGGGGGGGGGTTCCACACAAACTAAAAAAAAGTTCTGACTCCAAAATATTTTTACAAGCAAACAAATTAAACAATAAACCTAAAAAAAGCTATTTCATGTGTGTTCAATAGGGTCTGGGTCGTGTTACTTAACAAAGAAATATCGTAGAGTACGTAAAATATACATAGACTCCGGACTTCACCCTCCTTTTAGATCCGCACATGTATATACTAGTATCTTTCAATATAATATTTAATAAAAGTCAAAATTTGAAATTCATTTTGGCAGCTTTTGTTGAGGATCAGGCAGGCCATTTCAACTTATAATATTTGAATTTTCGTATGGATACAAGCAAACCAAGGGAAAATCAAATATTTGGATGAGTATTACAAAGATGTGTTGTACAGGTCATCGTTCATATACTACCAAACAGCAGTCATTTAAATGGAAACATTAAGATATGAATGCTCGATGTTTCAATTTGAAAGTAACTTATTGTGTGTCCCATATCCGTTTTAGTGTTGGTGTACATCATTTCTGAAAACAAAATGATTTATACTTTTTTCTTGGATACTTAAAGCATAATAAACTATAATAAAACAAATCTGGATTTTTTAAAATATTAGTTCTAGTGTAAACGCGGAAGAATAAAATGTCTAGTACATCTGGACATGCGAATAATAGGTCGAATTTTAAAAATGTGTACCCCACATCCCGGGTTTTTCTCACTTGTTTTCAAACTGTGTCGAAGTGTTTGGAGCAATAAGATTCTATCACGAACAAACGTACAATATAGATTGTAGTTGACGTTCTTTGGCATACTTTAGACAGGAAACTGATTCAATATTCATTCTTTATAAGTGCAAAAATTTCAATTTCTTACATCAAAGCAGAGCATTTGTCCTCCATCGTTGTGTGTCCTAATCCCGTACGATGACGTAGATTCCCCGCCGTGAACTGGAAGGTGGTTTGGTATACCACTTTCCGAAAGACTTTGGACACTTTGTAGTAATGGTCAAATTGCTGAAGAATTTCATTATATTCTAGAATGCAAAGTTTAGAAAATGAAAGGAAAAAATATCTAGGTAATTATTATTCTAATAGACGGAATATTATTAAATTTACAGAACTTATGTCAACCCAAAACGAACAAATTCTGAAAAAATTATGTATGTTTATTTTAAAAGTTTATGACGCTGTCTGCCCTCCTTAATATGTTACTTATTGTCTGTTTCTCCCTCTTTTTCATTTTGTAACATATTTTGTATTGCATATATTATATTTTTGTACCTCTGACCAGATTGTTTGAAATGTATGTAATTATGTTTTATTGTACTCCATGTACCAGTACTTTGGTTTGGGAGAATAAACTGAACTTGAACTTGAACTTGTATCGTTGATAATGATATCGAAAATGGGAAAATGGCGTATGTCTATTTACGAGTCGTGTTCAGCTTTAAATGCTAGAGTTATTTTCATTTATATGACAAATCAATTTCTCACAATATTCTTGAGGTAAAAGACACCACAGGGTCTGCAATATATCTATTTTTAATTCAGACGTTTTACTGATTATAAATGATATAAGAGCCAACCATACTTACCACTAAAATTGTATAACAAACTTTTCTTATTTACATAATAATATCCCGCTATCAACTGCATATGGTTTAAACGTCTTCCAACTTATTTTAATATAGAAGAGCATGCTTGGCTGAGTTCAGTGTATATGTTCTGTGAATTCAATGAATTTTTTGGCTGTTAAAGGGTTTTTTCCTCGAAGAATGAAAAATCCCACAAATTAGAGTTCCCAAAGGAATAATATAGCTTAGAAAATCATGCATCTTTGTCCGATCCTCAGGTTCTGAAAATGATAAGTTAATAATTATATAGTTGCAAATATCTCTAAATCTAAACGTAACTTTTATTAACCTAAGGTATTTGATTTATACATTCGTCATTCTCCTGTATATAATTCATTGTAAAAAGAAAATTTACTAAGATATCTGCAGGAAATGCAAAGAAAAGCATCAGCTATGCAACTTCAAATCTAGAAATATAATATTAGAACAAAAAGATTTCATTGGTATCTAGGCATTCAGGAGAATTTTTTATGTTTTGAATACGTATTTCGCTACTTCAGTTCTATTTATTTTTATTGTTAATTGATACAAAAAATGGTGTCCTCTCATTACAATTTATAGATATCAACGATCACTTCTAATTTATTTCATGCTAATAAGCAGTGGAATCTTAGGTTAAAAGATTCGTTTTATCTAGATACGACGTTTTCATTCTGTACTTTTACGGTGTCGAGATCTACTAATTTCATGATGAAAAGTAGGCCAAAGAGGCTGTACAGGTAATACTCATAGACTTCCTGTGTATACTGTTTGTGTATAGGGATTAGCGTTCTCCGTGGTCTGCACGACCGTCAATGCATCGGGGTGCCAAGCATGTAAAATTTAGTCCCTCCCCTTACCTGAGAAAAACCGTGAGGTTAAAAATCTCGGCCTTTAAGAAGCATAGTGTGATTTTTTTTTTTTTGCTCGGAAAGATCTTAATTTCAAGATTTATTTTGAAATTTTTAAAATTAAAACCTTGTATACTCCTGTCTTTTACAGTATACCAATCCTCACTAAAATAGACAAAATTCTCAAAAATGATTTGAATGAAATATATGGAGATAACGAAAATTTTCCAGCTTAAAAGTCCATTCACACAATAAAAATCAAGAGCACAGTTGGGATCAAGTGACATGGAGGAGTGAGTATTCCCTGCCACCCGGTGACGTCTACTGTGTGCTCCTAGTAATGATCGAAAATGACGGGAAAATCCATCGCCAATATATTCAGTGTGTAAAAAATGGCCAATTAGTATGAAAAATTTTTGTCAGCTTTTAGCTAAAAGAAAGATTGTTTCACGGAGTGAATAATGATTAATTCGAGAGAAAAAAGTTTTTCCCTCATGAATTTTGCTTAAGAGATTAAGGATAAAAATCTTAATCTAAAAATCTCTCAGCGTGATTTTTTTCAAAACATTTATTCGAGTGGAAAAGGCAAGTATTTAAAGTTCTGTAGAGAATTTTTAAAAAGATACAGTCTAGACCTTGAGGCATTTTGGAACATCTTTTCGTCCAGTGGTTGAATAGAGAAATATAAAGAACCATATAGAAGTAGAGGTAAAGTTTATTTGGTTTATAAAACGATTGTAAGGATTGCTTTAACTTGAATGCATTTTTTTATTTATAGAAACATCTCATAAGAACAGCCAATGCTTATTGCATAACATAGCCTCAGATGAAATTTATAATTTGTTACTTCCTGGTAGGTTTGATAATGTTTTGAATTTAGTATTCTGCACATAGAGCATTCTCAAAAACACAAGGTTAGTAAAAATAGTAAAAAGGTTTTTTTTTTAATTTAAGTTATATGTTATAAATCAATTCTACTTTAAGTCAGTTTGAAAAAAGTCATGATTTTTTTTATGTTTACATTCTCTTAACATTTTTTGGCTCCATTTCTTCAAGCGTATTTTAATTGTTAATTCTTTTTTATAAGACTTAAAAAGTTTTCTACGTCAGTTCACTGGAATCAAAATGTCTAAATATTATTCTTTTATACGATCAATTTAAGGGTATTCTTTAAATAAATTATGATTTTTGTAAGATTTTAAGAATATTTACTAAGTTTGAATATTGATTTCGCTTTGAATTTTTAGGACAGAAAATGATTTTCAATACCTGTATCGTCACAGCATTTATTCTCATAAAGTTTTCATCAGCAGGTTAGTAGCTACATGTAAATTAAAGACAGATGATACAAGCAGTATATTTTTTTCTTTGGAGGAAACTTAATATCGTGTCACAATTTGGCATATTTTCCAAATGTTATTTCTCAAATGCTAAAAAATATTACAAGTTATTACACTTTGTGCTCCTTTAAAACATGTTTTTGAAGAAAGAAGAGGGTAAATGAATGAAGATTAAACAATTTTACCATGATTATTCTAGTTGTGTACTTTTATGGGGAGGGGGGGGGGGGTTAAAGGTATTTCTTTCTCAAAGTCTAAGGAGAAAAAATCAAAGAAATATCAACTATTCTCAAAAACATTGGCTTAATATTAGATCTCCTCTTAACCAAAAAATGTTTGTATAATCTTTTCTTAAGACTTTTAGTTTTTCGTCCAATGTATGGTGTGTTTTTTAATTGTTTTTTTTAAAACATCATTGTTTTCTTGATTTACATCCAGTTGCGGTTCCACTAGACAAGCGTGGTGAAATCAAATTGACAAAATGTTTTAAGAATTTAAGAATTTAAACCCCGGATCTTCGATCTTTAGAGAAAGCGGTTTTTACAAAAATTATAAAGTTCAGGCAATCAAAGCCAGAGTATTCTGACTTTGTTTTACATTACAATTTTTTAAATGAAATTTGTAGAATTTAAAATGCGTTTTAATTGTCCAATTGTTGTAACAGAGCGATCGAGTGGATTTCTGAAAAACTAAAAATCATTGGTAAAAAAAATTTCTCGAATTATAACGAAAATAGCAAATTATATCACGTCTTTGAACAATGAATCTGAGATGGTTTAATTAGTTTTCAACAATGATAACGCGATTAATTCATCTGAGGTTGATGGCTGTTTCCAGCTTAACATTTCATCCATTTTTGATATCAAAAAGAAAAAAAAAATTTTGAGTATATGACTTTATTACCCAGAGAAGGTTTTCTTCTTTTACCAATGATGTTCAGTTTTTCAGAAATCCACTCGACCGCTCTGTTTGAACAATGGGTCATTTAAACGCATTTTAAAATTCTGCAGTGTATTTGCTATTCTTTTAGACCCGTGCTCATCTTATACATTGCTACGTGACCAGTACAGAAGATCAAGTGGATATATGCTGCAGCCAGGAGATATAAGTATCAGTGACAACTTCCTTACTGCAGGATGGTATCGATTTGATAGTGGTGCAGGAAATGATATGGTGACATTTGCACCCGACATAGGCCAATGTGGAACTGTATTTCCTATATGGATGCAAGGTATATGTTGATATTACAATAATGAACAATGATTTAAATCATGCCTTTAAGGCATATTTTAATTTAATTTAACGTAAATTGCTGTAAATTAAGCTGAAAATTGAATGAGAGAAAATTTGATTTGAAAACATTTCCTGTGCTTGAAATAACTAGATATGAACTCATTACACACTCTGCAAAGCTATTCAAATTTAATTTTGCCGCATTAGTTGTAGAAAAAATTAAGTCACATGCCAGAGTCCACTCATATGTGACATTACCTTATACTGGCAAATGACTTCAAACTTAAATCTTTATTTCTGCACTCGCGGACATTAAGCAGATAGTGAGATTTCTAACTTTACTTTACACGGAGAAAAATGGCAAACCTTCTGATATTTATTCGGAAAATTAATTTTTTCTGAAAATTTTTAAAGATATCTCTCATTTTAGAGAGATATCTCTTAAAAATAAAGATATCTCTCAATTTAAAGAGATATCTCTCAACTTAAAGAGAAGAAAGACATATCTCATAAACTTAGAGATGTTTCTCTTTCACTAAGTTTGATACATGTAGCTCTTTTTCTAAGAGAGATATCTCTTCCCCTTAAACAGATATCTCTTTCTCCTTGAGAGATATCTTTTTCGTGAAAGGAGGTATCTCTGAATGTAAAAAAGATATGTCTTTCACCAAGAGATATATCTCTTACGTAGAGAGATATCTGTTTTACTTTTGGAGATATCTTTTAAACTTAAAGAGATATCTTTCAAAGTAAAAGATGTATCTCTCTTAGTTTATCTTAAGAGATACTTCTCAAAATGAAAGAGATATATTTAAAAAGTGTCTAAAAGAGATACCGGTATCTCTCAGGCTAAAAGAGATACCCCTTTATTGTAAAAAGATATCTCTTTTTATATTTTTTTTATATTGCGTTTTTATTGACTTCTCCCTTCACCAAAAGTAAGCTTTTTTCACGGAGCACATTAAAGTATTCTGAAATCGACACATTTTACATTATAGCTTTACTAAACATTGCAAGTAATTAATTCAGTGTTGTCTAGATTTCAAATTAGTAATAGTTGATTATTTCATAATCTGAGAAAATTCGGTCCATTGCATTTGAGATTTTATACTTACTTCCGTTTTCCAGAATATTAAACTTTAAGCATGTTATTCAACGAAGTTGCCTTTACCTTTTTGTTGTTTCAAAAGAAGGGACTTATAGCATTTTTGTCTACATAGTACATATATTATTATGGGTATGACATGCTGTCTTTTTTCTCAAAACAACGAAATTATCCCAGAGACTTTACTGCATGTCTCGCAATCGTATGAAAGGGGAAGTTTACTGTTTTATATCAAAGATCACTGCAAAAGAGATATCTCTTTCATTAAAAGATATCTGTTACACTTAGAAAGATATCTCTTTCTGAAAATCCAGAATCTTAAAATTGATAAATCTGTAGGCACCTTTCATTTACTAGAACTTGACCTTAAAGAGATATTTCTCTTGCTTATAAAGATTTCTCTCTAAGTAAAAGAAATATCTCTCTTATAAAAAGAGCTATCTCTTTTGTTTACAGAGATATTTCTCTTAGGTATAAATATATCTCTATGAGCCAAAGAGATGTATCTTTTAGTTGGATAGATATCTCTATCTTTATCTCTATGAGCGAAAGAGATAGCTCTCTTAATGAAAGAATATTTCTTTATTTCACGAATAAATAATAGACGGGCTTGTTATAGAGAAGCTTGATACATATCAGTGCGAAATAGTTTTCTTCGAACTTACTGACTTTTGAATTCTATTTAATATGCATTCTTCTCCAAATCTCTTTATTTTCTCTTTTCAAAGGCTGCTGTAAAGAAAATAAAACTTTGGATGTTCTGTCCTACAGCATATTTTAGAATAAAACAAATTCAGATGATCATTTCAAAGAACCTTTACTGAATTTTAAAATCACTGATTTTTCCTATTTAAAATCATTTCTTACAATAACTTTTTTTTACAGTTTTTTTTATATCAGGGAGTGATTGTTTGTATGTTCAACTGCTCGTTCATTATAAAAGTATACCTCAACACTTTTTGTGGATTTCAACTTGATAATTATATTTTAAGATTTTTTTCTAATTCAAATAATAGTTACTTTAATTTATATGTCGATTCAGCACATGTGACTGCCACATACCATCACTCTTTTAACTGACACAAGCTAATGGCAAAAAAGTTGGAATCTGCACAACCTCGATTAGAACAGCATTTGGTTAATGTTACTTAAGATGAATATATAAATATATAATGACCTGGTTAACAAGTATAACCTTACATTAGGTGGTATTTTGACGTGACGTGTAACATTGTTAGGTCTTTGTTGTTTTTAAACTGAGTTTGAATAAGCAGTTTTCCGTCTACCTGATCAAAGCATGGGGCTGATGGTGTTTGTTTCCGGTCGATTTAGACGATGCATACTTCTCCTAGGCACATGATCCTACCTCAAAAAATTTCTGAAGGACTGTTCTCCTGAGTTGTATTACTCAAGTGAGCTTTTCAGATTACCGGGTGTCTTGCGTCTATCCCTCTGTCTGACTTTCTGCCCATTGGTCTATAAGCTCTTAAATGAGTGCCTTGAGGGTAGAGTGCGTCCACTGTAGTGAATCTTAGTTTAACATTGAAATTTATATGAAAAACATTTCAAAAACTTCTTCCCAAAACCAAAGGGATCAGAAAAGCTGAAACTATGTGGAGGAGTTCTGAAAAAGGTTAGACTCCATATTTGATTAATCCCCCAGGGGTAGGACGAGGGTTTAACAGGAATTATAATAGTATAGGGAAAAAAATCTTCGAAATCCACAAGAGTAAATCCATAATGATTCATATTAATGTTGAAGTCTGAAATGGTGATGAGAATCAATTTCCGTTCAAATCACCGGCCCTTTGTTATGGGGCCACAAAAGATGAAAACATATATGTTGGTTGAAAAAATCTGATCCAAACCGGCAGGACCAAGTATACTAAAGTGAGCTTTGTGGACCATTGGCAATTTCTTTCGAAATCGATTACTGTTTGTTGTCTTCACTTTTTCATATACTGCAATGTTAAACTTGAATACGCATTTATGTCATCAAGGCATCATAATTAAAAAAGTAGACGATTAGGATAAATAAGAACATCTAAAAACATTGAAATAACGAGTGTAATATACAAGGTAATTATTATTTTTTTTTTTTTTGCTTTTTACACTAGTTGCTACATTTATTTTACATCTGTGCTATTCTACAAGATAAGATATATTTTTCAAACAAGTATTTTTTGAATAAACAACACATCGTTTGTGGTTGTAATAACCAAATTAAACATATTTCAAAGCTACTTCTTACTTCTATGACATATCACTTAATAGATAACGAAAAACTGATATAAATTTCTTACAAAATTCTTTTTAGGAAACTTGTCATCAGATACTGACGGGGAGGTAACAAGAACAGCTTGTATCGTGGGACTAAAAAATACTTGTGGAAAGAATTTCCAAATTAAGATGAAAAGCTGTGGGTATTACCGAGTGTATTTTTTGGTGCCGTCTCCTCAGGCCTCGACAGGATACTGCATAGGTACCTGACCAACACTACAGTTCCTTTGGTTAAAATGATAAAAATGTACAGCTACGCACACTTTTTAAACTCACATGGTTTTTCGTACAAATTAACGTCACATATTAAAATGCGAATTTGTGTAACTAGGCAACAAAATATATCATAAAAGTCATTTACAAATTAATTTTGATACTGCTTCATTTACTTAAAACATAATTTACACAAATTAATTGGTAGGATATTGATATTTGCCGTTGTTTGCTGCACTATGATAGATCCCAAATGGTTTCGCATGGCATCTCGTCGAATGCAGCCGTCTTTTTATACGTTCTCTTGAAAGCAGTTGAAAGTTTCAGACCGTAAAAATGAACTCATTCTCTATCCACATACCTTTGAAATTAGATATATAATATATATTGGGGCAAATTAATGGTTCATATTAAAGTTTTATTGTAATAAGAATGTGACTGCAATCTGTGAAAAAAAATCACGTGAGCCTAAAAAGTGCGCGGAGCTGTACTGTCTTACCTTGACAGTGATATGCATTTCTATTTTTAATGAATTGATCAAGTAAATTACATCTGATTACCTATTTAATGAATATATGTACACTTTTAAACATTTCAATAATAACTGGTCTGACTTTAAATATATTTTATCTTTGTTTGTTTGTTTGTTTGTTTGTTTTTTTGATAATTCCTGCTATATTAGATACATTTATATAATAATATATTAGATATAATGAACTAATGTACAATTTAAGGAGAGGCAAGCGTGTGTCCTGCAGGTCAGACTTCTCATTCTTTCTTCACTCCTTGTGAACGTAAGTAATATTTGTAAAATTGTAGGCGTTTAGAGAAAGGGTATTTTTCTTCAAGAGAGATTTCTATGCCTCCATAATAAAACATTAATTGGTATATAGTTTAAGCTCTGTCCGTCTGTCTGTATTTTGTCTGCATATTTTAAACTTTTGATCGACTGAAGATTTGATTTTTATTGTATAGCGTAATCTTTGTAAAATTGTAGAATTTTCACATATATACTTTGCAATATGGCGTTTCTTTATGTATATGTACCAACAAATTAGATATCTTGACCCTTTCTGACCTAATTTAACAAGATTTTACAAGATTAAATTTTTTGAATGATTGGCGTTAGGGATTCCATTCTTCTCTTATAAAATTATTACAAGACACTTTAGAATTCAAATATATTTTACATTATTTCCTGAACTTTTGAAAAGTTGTTGCCATGACAAACTTGAAAGTTCTCCTTGAAATGTGATATGTCCTTTTTATGAGTACTAAGGTTATTTTATCTCTTGGCCATTGAGGTTGATATGTATTAGTTAAACTTTAATCCTCGTCACAAGCTGCCATATGAAAACACCAGAGGTTTCATAATTATGTCTTTCTAAACAATACCTACTCCAATGCCAAGGTCAAGATATCAAAAACATTTTGTACCCAAAGAAACGTCTTGTGAAAAAAAATAAGTTTGAAATATATCAACCATTTTAAAATTATTACCAAGGTTGAAGCTTTACAATGGAGGTCAAACTTCAACTTCATGGTCAAAGGATTGTATGAACCCAGGGAAGGACTTGTCACAAGTATTGCACATGTTTAATTTAAAAATCATGGCACAAACCATCAAATCTTATTCTTTAAAGTTTTTAAGGTAGGTCAAACTCCAAGGTCAGGGGCAAGAGTTCAATCCAAAGGAAATACACATCATTTAAATGAAAGCCTAGGTTCCACCTTTCAAAATGTATGGCTGATTTAAGTTTTTAAATGATGTTCAAATGTTTAGATGAAGGTAAGAAAGCAAAAAAAAAATTACACTTGAGCAAAGGTCAAATCAAATGAAATACAAATTTTGAAATATGGCAGCCTTAGCAACATTTTATCAAAAGTTATGGCAAAGGAAAAAGCCAGGTAAAATTTGACCAGATTGGGTTAAATTCCAAGGCCAAGTTCAGTAGCTCAATTATATTCGACACCCCCCCCCCCCGCCCAATTAAAAAAGGATTTAATAACAAGAAACACACGTGAAATATAAAAGCCCTTACCATCTCCTTCTGATCAAAAGTTACCAGCAAATTTAAGTTTTTTGTGGACAAACAGATAAGTAGACAAAGAGACAAAGAGACATTTTAGATGTAACCGAATCTTTGATTACGACGGCATAAATGTGAACACTCGACAAAGCTTCTTTTTTTCAAATTATTGAAATATAAAGAAAAATTATCTTGTTAATTTTACTTATTATAGCCTATACTCCTGTTAGCACGAATCCAACAGTAAATGTATCACTAGAATACATTGATTTAAACACTACTGGAGGACCCATAGCGGCCGTGTTCAAGTGTCTCTGTTCAGAACCCTCCGGGGGCCCTTATTGGTACGACACCTATTGGTATATCAATAATGAAGAAGTTAAGTTGGTAGAATCTCGTCCCTATCAAGACAACAAGAGCTGGCTCTACCCAGAAGACTGGGTACACAGGCACAACATGAACATGGTGGTAAGTTGTACTCACAGGCGAATAGAGTACAAGGGTAGATGTATATCTGACTCAATAGAGGAAAAATGACACACGTGTTTGCTTTTCCACACTACGGGCGGTACTATTTGATTAATTGTTCAATTACAAGGTCAGCCATGTGTGTTTGTTACAGGTTTCCCATAAAAATGAATATTAATAACAAATGTTTTGATTTTCAATGGCAACTTCTAGTTAATTTCAACTGAGGTGGCAAAACCCATGCGATAGTCGCAATAAAAAATTAACTATATTTTAACAGCATTTAAAAATCCAAATATATTATAAGGAAATTATCGTTTATTGGGATATATTGTGAAACAACAAACCCCGCTCTCATGTATGGCTTGCATATTGCAAACTATTTCATTAATGATGCAGGCGTATATTTAATATAGTTCATGTTGTAAAATTTTTCATTATTTCGTTATTTTCTTAAAGGTAAAGTGTTCATTGAGGGTTAGAAAAGAAAATGGAGGGACTCCTGGTCATTATAATTACAGTACGGAATTCCAAGCGGGAATATTTGTGAGTTGATACTTAAAGATATTATCACAATGCATGACATAAATGTTCTCTTTCTTTGCTACCCTTACAAAACATACTAGGGTTAACTTTAGTATACACTTAACAAAACTTCTAAGTGTTCACTCTAATAAATGTATTAAATATTTAAAAACAACATGATAGAATGGGATGATATTTTCAAATTACTATAACCAATGAGTCTCCTAAAAATTATTGAAAGAAAATCAGTTATCACCCATGCCTATCCTATTGGCTCTGGATCTTCGTCAGAGGCTTAGGTTTCGCGTCACAACCAGGTCAAACGATTGTTGTGACATTGTTCTGAATTTTTTAAAGACACATTTAAACAAACAACTTCAGTTAAAGAAAATGATAACAAATTGGTGCTCATGGCGGTCTTATGTCATCTAAAACAGTCTGAATCATCCTTAAAGCACTTACGTGTTAATTGCCCAAAGATATTGACCAAAAGGCATATGTGTGATGATGCATTGCCAAATACCCTGATCTGAATCCCTTTTAACACATTTTTGATTTTTATGAGGAATATCAAAGCACCCCTCTAGACACATTTTAATGGTTTAGAAAGAAGCAGCATATGGGTCAATTTCCTGTTCAGGGGTACATGGTATCCATGAGAAAAGGATTTCTTGCAGTAATTAGAGCAAGTGGTGGTCTTACTCCATAGAAATTATTTAATGTGAATTTTCATTTTGAGGGTATCTTGATCCTCTGCTTAAAATTCTGACAAGATACTTACATGAAATTAGCGCAACATCGAACTGTAATATGCATTATTATTCTAAATTAAAAAAATAAATTATTGTATGCATATTTTTTTTAAAACTTTTTTAAAAAATGTTAGGTAAACACTTAGAAGTTTGGTTCAGTGTATAAGGTTACACTATAGAAAATCACAGGTTTTCCCCTGGCAAATCCATTTACGATTGTTACATGTATTTTGAATTTTCCAATTCATACATGCACATTTATCATAAAAGAAATGAAAAATTGCTTGCCCATATGTACATTAAAATATGATTTCCCTTGCCTTATTTTGAATTTAAGAAATTTTAGGTTTTGAAAACTCAAAGAACGTTCAGTAAAGTTTTATAAAAAATCAAAGTCTAAGCTATATTTAAGCTACAGTTGAAATCAGTAAAATGTTAGTTAGCTTTTGTCAGAGTTTATCATATGCACCTTCAATGTCAAGCTAACAAAAACAAGATCACGAAATACATTGAATATATTTCTATACATCAATAACAAAAAGAAATTCCTTTTTCAGTTCGATTATAAACCTCAATGCCATTCAGTTTATGTTGACCATTTTTAGTATTTTTATTTCTTTCGATAAATGGAGAATTATTTCTAAAGTTTTAAGGTATGTCACTCGTCAGCTCTTTAGAAAAGTTCACGCAGAACCTCTTACTTCAAAACTATTTATTATAATTCATTTTTCATAACATTTAAATTTAGCAATGTATATTGTTCAACATTCAATTGAGAGACTGCCAAAAAATGCACAAATGAGCAAAATTTACGAGGGACTAATTCTTGTGGTGGAAGGATATTTAGCAGAAAATTCTGCCAATCTGCACATTTATTGAATTTAATATCTTAGAACTTTAGCATCACATACTTTTACTCGGAGAATATTTTCCGTTATGATATGCTAGTAATATTTAATATAGGTATCAATTGATATATTTAGAACTTTGTCGAGAAATGAAGATATGTTTAAGAAGTCACGATAAAATATACATCGTTTTTCGCCTGAAAATCACATATTTTGACAAATATTTCAAGTTTAACATCACTCACCCCCAACTTTTTCTTTCATTATTTTAAACAACTCGATTCTTGTGACTGATCAGCACTTTAGGCGTAAAATGCTTGATACAAGAAAAAAAATGTATAGCCTATTTAGATATTTAATACTCAAAATATGTTATTTTCTAGTGCAAAAGGGTCACACAATAATTAACGCGCACTAATTTGTAAGATTTGTTCAAGGATAAATATTATTAAAACTATTTTACGTAAAATAAGATTATATTTATTGCCATGGTTATATCTGATAAAATATGATAAAGGTTAAAGTAATTCTTGTAACCAAAGAGTTTAATTTAAGTGCAAAAAAAGGTCAACTTAATTGTACCATAGCTCAGTAAGATGCATAATGACCCCTTATTTTCTTTGCAATTTTGAATCATACTATATGAGTACATATCCAAAATATACTTCTGAAAAAATCCTTGATTTAACAAATTTCACGAGTGACATACCTTAATAGTTAATTTGAGCAACTCTCCAGTTCATCTGAGTCACACAGATTTCATTATATTTTCATTACACATTCTTTCTTATATATATAAAAATTTTTAATTTCCCTAAATTTAGAAAATTGGCTTTAAACTTTCTGGTATGAAATCTTATAATAAAGTAATATAAACGGAACCAACTTGTGAATCGCAGAATCGCTGTAAAAATATGGAAGATTAGATCAAAAGTATATGAAAAATCAACGATTATGAAGAATGATGTTCAATAAAAATGTAGTAATAATAAATTTTTTTCATTAGTCATCTAAAAACTCAGGATACACACAGGTGTAGACCGAGACGCAAGATAAACTGATAGTTGCAAAAAATGTAAACCTTGAATGAATAAGTCATGCAATAAAAGATATGATAAGAGTTAGGACTTCAGAAAGGGAAGACATCCCCAACAGCGTACATAAATCCACACATATATAAACTACATTACATATTTTAAATCCGCTGAAATTTCTGAATTACTTGCTATTCCATATTGGATTATTTCAATCTTTTATACAATTACACTTTTTGATATCGTGCATAATATTTATTTTTCTAATAGCCTTCAAAGTATGCTTATGAAGTCGTAGAAGGAGAAACAATTACGATTGAGTTCACAGTTACAGTTCCCGTCGGTTGTTTTGATGTTGATATGAGAACACAATGTGGTGTTGAAGTTTACTTACAAACTCCAGTCTATCAATCTTCTGCAAATCCATGCGTTAACTTCACAGGACAAGGATCGATTACCTTCAAGAAAAATGGATGCGGATTGACCATTGCAAGTTCTACCTGGTGGCAAAAACTGATTTTAAATGTCACCGGAAAAACAGATGGACGAGTCAATTTGAGAAAAAGAGGAGTAAATTTAAAATTAGGAACCAAAACAGAAAGCACAACTGATTCATCGGAGGTTTGGTTTAATCTCTCAGTGCCAGACATAAAGGTAAAAAAATAGATTAATATTTGTCCATAGTGGATCAACAACCTTAAAATATATAAATACAGTTAAAGGTTTAAGGGTTTTCTTGTTGAAGACACAAAAGTCTGTAAAGAAGGAGGGCGCTTTTTATTGGCATTCGGCAGGAAACTGGGCGTACTTGAAAAGTGAAAATTTTATCGACATGTCACATGAAATTTTCATATTGTTTTAATTTATCGGGTTCCTGAGAAATGGGAAAGGAAAATAATTTCCCGATAGTGAGTTTTAATTTGCTTAAAAATAACTTCAAAATTGGCTAGATCAGACATTTGGTACAAAATTGTACATTTTTAAACAAGTTTTTCTAAATATTTTCTATCTCTGGGTCTTCTCTCCATGATTTTGAAACGTTATTTGTGTGCATTTCAATTCAAAGAAACGAACGCACATTTGCAAAAAATAGAGAGAAGACCCAGAGACCACAAAAATCGAACTTTTTCCAAAAAATTCAATTGTGTAAATATGGTGCTTTTTTGTCCTTTTATAATGAGAAGAATGCGTGAAGCGGTCATAGCTCATTCAGATGGATTGCCTGGTCAGTGAACTTGAAATGGAAAGTTTTTGGTTCGAGCCTCGCATGGGGCGTTGATTTTTTCTTTATGCAAACAATCAATTCTTTTGTCAGTATCATTTTACGTATTGAATTATTAAAGTTTTGAATTAGATGTATTTTTTTACTTGCACCGAGAGCAAAATCAATTCCAATCTTCTATTCTACTTTAACTTTGATGTGCATGTACACTTATCTTCTGCCTTTTATCTTATACATGTAGGTATTATAATTACTTTTTGTGAAGCATTACTTTGTTTTTGTATTTCCCAAGAAAAACGGACATAAATATTACAATTTGACAAGGTATTTCAAACTAAATAAATGAAAGAAAAATCCTTTGGCTGTGTTTATAAAATCTGACTAGTTATGGTCAGCCAACAACATCATAGACATCTAAACCATAATTGTTTCGTACAAATGATTCCTGCAGATCACACGCTAAATGCGCCCATCTTCTTTAGAACGAATAAAAAAAGATTTATAAAATCGTCCCTTTTTGAAATATGCTGAATTTGCTTGCAGTGGTTTTATGATAAACTTGTATGTAAGAGAAACTGGGTTTGTGAATATATGATAATAAAAATATTATTACGAAAAAAAAAATTAAATTCCAAAAACAACTTAGAAATCCACATATGAACAAAAAATATGAGCTATTGCAGAAAGAGGCATATAAGACTTAAATTAAAGATTATTAAATAACTTATTACGTAACATAGAAATATTGAAAAAATGGAGAATTGTTGAAAATGAAATGTGTGTTTTTGTAGAGATGTAAAAGAAAACAATGAACATCTTATTCTAAAATGTCAAAATGTTTCTCATATATTGTATATTGTTCTGCAAATTTTGAAATTTTATTTATGATGGAAAAAAAAATTGTTATTGGATTTTAAAATGAAAAAAAATGAAAAGATATTATTTTTGAATAGCATACTATCCCTGATAGCTTGTAAAATTTACAAATTAATAATGCATTGTAGACTAGAAAACAATAAAGAAAAGCCTCAAGAAATAGGTTACCATATCAAGAGTATATTGAATATTTTTTCTGAGGCATATAAGAAAATTCACCATTAGAATATTGTAATGTTATAAAATGTATTAAAGACAAATTATAATTCATAAACCCATTGTAGAATAAGGCTGTTTTTCTACAAATCTTATCTGGGAGACAATAAATAGACCGTAGTTGAGGTGAGGGTGTGGTCTCCCAGATATGTAAGAGTACCTATACAATTATACTTAAAATATTTAGCTGGAAAAAAAATTCAGAAGGTAAAAAATTTTGAATATCTAAAACAAAAACATATACAAGTAAACAATATTATCTTAATCATATATTCCAAGCTATCTGATTGGCTTAAACTTGGTCACATGATTTAGTATATAACAGCATATAGACTTGAGTTACTATTTATAGAATCTAAAATGCATATCGACTTGATGTTTCTTGTAAAACAAAAAATTAATAGGTAAGATTTCACAATTACAGCTAATACAGTATATGACTTGATGTTTCTGAAATATATATATATATATATATATATATACTTGTATTTAAATTTGTAATGTTCTGTAACTCATAAGACGTAACGATGGCCTGATTTAGGATCTACTTAATATTAGAACATATTGAATATCTTTGTCAAAATTGATACAAAACATAATCAAAAAGATGTACATTTGTAGTATTTTCAAGTAGTAAATCCTCTAAATTATGTAAAAATTTAAAAATGTCAAGGAAAGTTTAACACAGTTATAATAAACAACTTAATTTATTTTGATTTATAGTCTCTAAGTGTTTAAAAGAGAAAACTTGTGGTTTGTTCCCATATTTTTTTTTCAACTTCTGTAAAAAATAATAACAAATGTAGCCCTTTAATTCGGTCAATCCATAGATATATCGACTTCACAGAAAAGCATATCGACCTTGCACTTCGCGCTCGGTCAATATGCTTTTCTATGAAGTCAATATATCTATGGATCGACCTCATCAAAGAGCTACATTTATATAATATCAACTCAATTGAATTGGGCATAAAACACGGACCCTAGGAATTCAATGGGTGGGATTGGGGTCTAAGTTTAGTAAGCATGCTTTATCACTTTGTTAACACCCACCAAGAATAGTAACTTTAAGGATCAGGTACACTCGGTAATCAATGTTGTATGATAAAAAAAATGCCAAACAGATGGTTGATAGATGTCAAATTAAAACCTACACAATTACAGACTCTTTACGTTCTATAACAATATATATGCAAAACCTGAAGAATATTTTGGCACCTGATTCATTTTAATTTTTTGTCTTAAACGTAGTTCTTCATTCCATTTCAGTCTCCTTTCAGAGGTTTTATTTTTTAGTGTTCTCGGAAATTTCTCTCTGTATGAGTTGAAATCGTTTGGAGCTAATAGGCATGTGTGGAACAAGGTCATCTATGTGAGAATGCAATACAAACCTAATGTTAATTGTAACAGGGACCGTTACAGATGTTCCCCAAATGCTCCCCTAATCCCTTTTCGTGCCTAATTCCTGTAAGACATTTTTAAATGAGCATGCACATGAAAAATGATCATGACATCTTGTCTAAATCATTAACATATTTTTATTTTGTGAGAATCAATTAAAAAATCTTTAAAATACGAGGTACGTTCAATAAATAATGTCATTAGCTCGATGATATACAACAAAGAAATCATATGACATTAAACTCAACTTTCTCTCATTATTGAATCTTGAATGAATTGATAACAGTTTATTTGACCATTTTTCATCGCATTATTTCATTGTGGGAAGCTGGAAAACAAGGGCCATTCGAGACGCTGCATTAAAATGAATGGTCAAGAATCAGTAAACTAGAGTAAAATTATACGCTTCATTAAAGGAGCTGTAAAACTTGTTAATATCCAAAAAATATATTACCTGACGTATGTGAAATTTACAGCAGCCAATGTCTGTTTTATAGATACAAGAACAAATGGATTTCAATAAACAAAAAGTATATAATGGGCATCAAAAATGGGTACCTTCCTTGGCAACAAAGACTTACAACAACCAATGTATATTTGCGAAAATTCAACAAATTATCACTGATTATGTTTTATTGACTTTAAGACACATAGCAAAATTGATAGAAATCATTTTGCGAATAGTTCACACTGTTTTAAAGAAACATTTGGTGGGTAAACAAGTTTAACACTCAAAGGTCACCCTATATTTTGAAAAATGAGTGAAAACGACAGCGTGTAGGAATATCTAAACAATTCTTTTTAAAAAATCAAAAATTGTTCTTATCCGCGTTTGTCTGAAATTCAAACAGATATTGATACTTGAATCTCTTTTGCTTTAAACCCTAAAAAAATTACAATAAGATGCACTTGACAAAACTGCAAAGACCTAAAAAAAAAAAAAAAAGCAAAGAATTGGAAGAGCACAAAACCAGTTTATGTGCTATTCTCTTAGTGGTCTTTTTCTTCAATTTCATATTTGGGGAGGAAGTTCAATTTCTGGAGGTGTCTAGAAAACAATTTTTTTGCAAAAAAGTGAAAGATTTATGCGAGGTGAGGAATCCACTACAATAAATTTCTTCATGACAGCGTCCAAACCCACAGGCTATGAAGAGTAAAGGCGTTTTGGGGATAAACAGAAAGTTAATGTTTTGTCACACCAACAAATTTTGCCAGATCTTTCAACCTTTGGCTTGTTTCATTTCTCAAACTTAGATAAACATCTATCAGAAAGGGAAAAAAAGTGCAGCAAATCCTAGAATCTTCCATATTCCAGTATACTTAGGATCATACTCAAAAATGTGTTCTAAAAACAATTAGAAATTGAATAAAAATGTTACGGGCATGTTTTTAATTAAAAGAGAATATTTTAGTTAGATCATTCAGACTAAATCATAGAAAAGCGTTTTTTTTCTCTTTTTCTTTCCTAGCCCCAATGACATTATTTATTTAACGCCCCTCGTATACATTCTACTGTTTTTCAAATATATCATTTGGTCATTTTGCGTATTTCGCGCGCGCACACGTGCATGCATGCATATTTGTGCATACAATTTCGATAGTACCATAATGTAGAAATCCATTATACCTAATCAAATTCTAAATTTCATACCGTTTTGTTGAAAACTAAGAAAGTTATAGGCATTTAAATTTTCAGCCTATCAGATTGCAGCACACATGCATTTGCATGTTTTCATGATAATTCTTAAATATCATGCTGTAGATCTTCATAATGTATAAGCATGTTGAAAATTTCAAAGGATTCTGTCGGAAAACAAGAAAGCGCACGTGCATGCGCGTGAGATCTTGCTATTTTAACCATGTCATCTTGTCAATGCTTCTAATATATCCTTATTTTATGAGTTTCAAAGCATTTCATAAAAAAAATTAAAAAGTTACG